GTAAAATATAAGTACTAATATAGTTTTAAGTCTGTACCTACTAACATTTGATTGGATCTCAGTTGTCTCAATAAATAAAATTTTATTATTATTATTATTATTATTATTAACAATTTTCTGTTGATTGCGTAAGAAGGCTTTCAAAACCAAGTCGGCTAGGGATCAGATATCTCATGGCATCGATTGTAGCAGTAAAGCTCTTCGACAAAATATCCCAAAAAAAAAGGCATTGTGATTACTACTGTATCTGTATTCAGTTTAGTTACATTCATATTTCCACGCGCTGGAACGTAAATAATGATTGCCTATTTCGGTCCTCGATTTTGATGGTTGTATTATGAAAAAAAATCACTTTTTGTGTTGCGGCAACGAAGATAGATTTCTATGAATATTTTCTAACGAAAATTTATTTCTTTTACATGTATACTTAAACTCCTGACTGAAAGATGTTTTTCCACTGGAGAGGTAATATGAGACGAGGATTGAAATTTGTATGACGAAATTTCAATTTTCTCCTAATGCGTCTTCGGTGGAAAAGATCTGGATTGATTATACTACGGGAGGAAAGCCGCTAAAGTCACAGACACGACGGATAATTTACCGCCATTGACTTACAAATAAATGGTCGACGGGTCTAATATAAAAACCACGAAAAAAATGTCCCAAGTTAACCTATTTAAACGTAGTGACATGTAAAGGAATATGAAAAATCTAAAACGTTGAGTTTAAATTGTAATGTCATCGCAGTACTGTCTAATTTTGCTTGCTTCGCTGTCAGTCGAACAAACGAAGACTAAAGCGTGAATGACGCTCTGTATACGATTTTAACGCCCTATAAGGTCGGACACTTTTTAGCGCGGACCCGACGTCCATATAATTGTAAGTCAATGTTTACCGCGTATACTTGTATTTTTTACAAGAAGCCAATAACCGTTCGAGCAGCGTGGAAAGTGATTATAACATCGCTACATATGTACTAACATAGCTTATGTCAGATGAAGAAATGCGTACAGATACGGACTGAATTGCAATGATTAATAACCGGAAAAATATTCATTTTTAGTTACACATATAAGAGATTTATAATAATGTGGTTGCCAGTTAGATGCTTTAACGTTCAAATTTATATCGAGTTCTTAGGTTTTCGCGATTGTTACACATAGGAAATGAAACTATTTTTCCGGGTTTATATCGCGTATATTTGTTTTTTCAAACAAATTGACGTTTGTTTGAAACCGTGACCATGGGACCGGTAAAGGGCCCGAAACGTCGGTTTGTTTGAAAAAACAAATATACGCGATTTAAATCCGGAAAAATTGTTTCATTTCCTACGTTCAAATTTATAACCGCCATTTTGAAAAGCCTTTGATATAAAAATTAAAAAGTGTGACATCATTTGCAAAATAAGTGTATTACCTTAAAATTATAACGCATAGAATGATAGTTTCATATCAAACGAACTGTCACAAGTGAGGCAAAAATCAAATTCATGTAGGCTAGTTTTAGTAGTAGCTTAATTTTCGGTTTTAGTGAATATTTATATAAAATAAAAAGGTGAAACGCGTTACTTCCTTGTGGAATGTGATGTTAGTATCTATTTTATGTTTGTCTGACGTATTTTTACACTCATTTACCACACAGTCGACTTGAAAGTATATAAAGTTACTATTACATTTTTTATTTATTATCCAGTGGGAGGAAAGCCGCTAAAGCCACAGGCACAGCAAATTTACAGCGTGTACTTGTATTTTTTACAAGAATCTGATACGTTCAAGAAAGATTACAATGCTTATTTTAAAAAAATCCAAAAATGTGTTTCTGTAGCTTGTGGTATTTTAATCGGAACAGTAAATAATATTTTAAAACAGATAAATCAGGTTCTTTTCCTATCCTTTACTGTATATTTTTGTTAACTTGTTTTTTTTTGTTGTATATTTTTGTGAATTCACATGAAGTAAATTATTGAAATACGGCAGCTATTAAATTAGCAGCAGTAGAGCTCCTTGTGACAGAGTTCGTCCAGGGAAGCGCTGCCACCTTACCGATTTCTCCCGCCAAGCAGTAATGTCAGCATTACTGTGTTCCGGTTTTGAAGGGTAAGGGTGCTGCTGAAATTATAGTCACGTGAGACTTGTCAACTTATGTCTCAGGGTGACGGGCGCAGTGGTAGTGCCCCTCAGATCTTTGCAATTTAAAGCTCTGAGTGGCACTGTAACTGTTATGGACAAGCGTGTAGTATTTACCACCAGTCGCACGACTTGTTCATCCCGACAGTTCCATATAGTTCATAAGGAAATCAAAACAATAATAAAGTACGTTGTTCAAAATTCAAATAGATTTTAAATCTAACAATGAATGGGTTTGGAAATTTATATTCGTTTGCATTCGGATAGATGATGATTGCCAAAGGACATTGAGAAACACTGTACCTAGGTACTACAACGTAAACACGATTACTTGCGCTAGCTCGCAAGTGCTCGGACGATCTCGCGCTGGCTATTACTATCAATCGCGAGTTTGTGGGGTACGTTCCTCGAGTATATAACAAGAAATATAGACGAAATAAGTTCAAAACATTCCTGGTAATTCATCAGTGGTACATCACTTATAAATATCAACTCTCGTTTGCACTGAAATATAGACAGCGCTAACAACTGACCTGTGTGTTTGTCTTCGTATATTCAAAAAATATTCTGTATTTATTGTAATAAAGATAATATCTCTAACAATGGCGTGCTGTTCCATTGGGCGGTGTGGGGAAAAACATCAAAACATCTAATTACAAAACAAACGGTAATTAAATAATAAATATGTAATTTTGCAATTTTCGTCCATTATAGTAAATTCAGGTTAAACTGGTCGAGCTGCACTGAAACAATTGACGACACCCATTGACGACATCCGTCTATTGTTTCGAATTCGGGCTGGCCAATCGGAGCGCAATTATCACAGTAACGAAATAGTTTTCGAACAAATTAAATGGCATTTGGCATTGGTCTCTATTTCTGGTTATATACTCGATGAGTACATTAGATTTTAGATAAAAAAAATATTGCTTCATCTGATTCTTCTACCGTTAACATATTTAATAATGATAATTTACGAGCACACTGAATCTTCACTATCCACAACCACAGCGCGCGCTGGCGCGAGTTTTTGATGGAAATAGGCCGGCGAGATTTCAATTCTCGTCTCGTCTCGCCTCGTCTCACCGGTGGAAAACCACCTTTAGGGCGCTTTAAAATTACACGCTTATGGATAGCTGCAGCGCTACTGTTGTGACACTCGGGCGCCACTTTTGCAGTCACAATAAGTGAAATAAAAATTACGAGAGGGGCAGCCAGGAGTGCCATAGCACATGAGTTTCCTGTCTCCCACATCTAAGTTTCACGTTAAATCATTTACTTTTGTACTTGTTGGGAGATAATAAACGATAAGATTATAGAAATTTTTAAGTTTGTTTAATGTCCCGATATTTGACCTCCAACATATTCAATTATTTTTTGTGAAATTACTGCACTAGTTTGTTAATACAAAGATCGAACATCATCATCATCATCATATCAGCCGGAAGACGTCTACTGCTGAACATAGGCCTTCCCTAAAGATTTCCAGACTAGCTGATCAGACGCGACATGCATCCATCGGTTACTCGCCGCCCTTACCAGGTCCTTCGTCCATCTAGTAGGGGATCGTCCCACTGAACGCCTTCCGGTTTGTGGTCTCCATTCGAGACCCTGTAACGGTGTGACCTCCTTACACCGTCATCTCACCTCTTTGTATCGCCTCTCTCCTCTTGTATCTTATCATTTTTTTATTTTACTTGTATTTAAATTTTAAATTTGAATTGGTCCATCTTCCTTCAATTTCTCATTTTGTTTTCGTACCACGGTCACTCCCAGATCGACCGCCACAACAGTCAGAGCTGTTAATAAGCTAATCATGTGTAATAATTTATAAATCTACACCCTTCATGTATCTATTTCTGTAATTCAGTTTCTCGGCCCATTTAGGGGTAAGTGCCTTAATAATAAAGTGTAGGGAGTGTTTTATACTGTTATACGTGTTTTTTTTACATTTACCTTTATATTGTTACAGCCTTTCTTTAAACTTTACTTCTTTAATAAATTTTGTGGACCGGAAGTTTGCCATTTCATTGCCGTGAACCTGTTCACGGCTAGTTAGGGTTACAACCCTTTCAAACCTTTCTGCCCCGACGACCTTTAGCTATGAGCTATGTGCCCTGCCCACTGCCACTTTAACTTGATAATCCTTTCAGCTATGTCGGTGACTTTCGTTCTTCTACGAATCTCTTCATTTCTGATTCGATCAAGTAGAGGAATGCCGGGTTTTGCTCGCTCCATGGCTCGTTGAGAGATTTTGAGCTTTTTTAGGAGGTCCATAGTAAGTGAACACGTCTCAGAGCCGTAGGTCATCGCTGGCAACACGCACTGCTCGAAGACTTTTGTCTTCAAGGACTGCGGTGATGCGTATCAGGTACTGAGTATCAAAGCATTCACTATCCGGAACAGCCACACCAGAAGCAATTAATTTTCCAAATTGGTCCAACCTAGAATCCAGCCCAGGTTCTTCTCGTCCAGCGTCCGCAATGCCAGCTGCACATCAACGATTAGTCATAATTACGCAACATTTTGGGACCAGCTATAATTTCCGCTGACTTTTATCTTCAAGGACTGCAGAAGATCGAATACTAAGAAAAACTTCCTTCGGTCCGACTGGATCTAAACCAGCGTTGTCTAGCAAAGCGTGGCAGATGCTATGCCAATTAAGCTATAGAACGAATTTAGCGGACCTTATGAATTTTTCTATGTACTTGTCGCACATCTTTGTTTTTGGTTTTTAAGGACATTTTTGCCGTAGATTCTTCTTCTTCTTCTTCTTCTTATAATGCCTCTTCAATGTTGAAGGTTGGCTGTCAGCTTCCTGTACCCGTCTCTTTTAGCAGCCAACCGTAACAGCTGTTCGACGAAGGCAATGTCGGTCCACTCCCAGATGTTCCGGACGCCACGATTTCTTTCTTCGCCCAACGCGTCTCTTTCCCTGTACTTTGCCCATCATTATTAGCTGTAGCAGCGTGTATCTATTATTCCGGATCACGTGACCAAGATACACTATTTTGCGCCTTTTGATAGATGGCATCATTTTCCGGGACATATGAACACGCTGAAGCATGGATTTTTTCGTGACCCCCCGTGTCCAACCAATGCGCAACATGCGTCGGTAGCACCACATCTCAAATGCCTGCAGGCGTCTTGTAGTATCTTCTTTCTAGTCTGTAGATTCAACTGTAAGAAATCTATTTCTACACTCAGCCAGGTACCTTTACAGCTACTAGCAGCTGACTGGAGATGTCGCTGTAGTAAAGAAGCGTTACAGACAGTGGGTCTGCCGTGCCGCTGCAGCGTTTCCACAAGCGTCCTTTGTCTCATACACCAATTCAGTTTCATATTGTCAATACTTCACGTCGGATAACAGCTATTGAAATTTCATATTAACTGAATGGCTCGATGGGACACTGAATAATCGTCGTCGATAAATCGGCTTCTGTAATAATTACCAGGATGACAAAGCTTTCAGAATCTGTTTGTATTGTTTATAGAGACAGTGATATTGAGACAAATCGTGGATCCATTTACGCTTGCGCTAAAAATAGCTCTTGAAGGACGAAATAATTTTTAACAATAGATCTAAATTGAATCCAAACGGTGATAAGTTCGGTTAGGTTAGGTAGCAACACAAAATAATAAATACAGTAGATGTGGTTAGTTAGCGTCAGACGCGTGCCAACTAAAGGTCTAGAAAGACCTATCTGAGCTCAGTCCGCCATTTTCGCTTTGTATGGTACGGTTGTGTCATTCTTTCGTGCAAAATCTCTAAAATCCTAGAAAAACGCCTTATTATGCTGTTTTGGAGTGCAAAAATGACAGCCTCGCCAAAAATGTTACCCGTGGTGGTATTTCATATCATCGGAGTCTTATTTTAATAAATTTTTTTGTTACAAAAACGAAAGTAAAGCTTATTATACCCCTGCAATATGGTCGCTTCTTGTTTGGAGAACTAAAATTAATAACTGCAATTTGTCGTCGTTCAGCAATGAACCGCTAGATGGCAGTACATTGATTGAAATTTCAATATAATATCAAAACGTCTTAACTTGTAATAATAGGTGTTGATGGTATTGAACTTTCAACGATATGCCAACGGGGTAAAGTTTAAATTATATTACCAATCCAGAATTACCGATATATATTCCACTGAAAATCAGCGTCACAGCCCTGTCCCGGCGGTGACATTAGCTGAGTGGATCCTATTACATAAGCCACAGCCGCACACATGACATCTACTTAGTACAACAATAGTGTTGACCACCTTTGTGGTCGCATAATTATTTATTGCTAAGATTTTATTTTTAATTAATTTTATTTAGTTTTCTTTTTTGTTATTCATTTTCTGTTTGTTTTAATTTAGTTTGTTTTAGTTTTAATTTAGTTCTGTTTTATTTTTTATTTTTTTTACTTTTTATTTTTTACTGTTTATTATTGTGTTGTGGTGTTATGTAATAAATGTATTCTATTCTATTTTATTCTAATATCTCAATTTTGACAACGTTACAGGATGAAGAAAGAAAATGTTTGCTTCATTTATATAGCATCTCGTTTATTAAATAACAAAGTAAAAGTGTAATTACCTGATGGTCCCCATGTGCTGTGACGGCTGCGCAGGCGGCGGCCGAGCTCGCGGCGGCCATTTCGCGTAGCGCCGGTCGCTTGTCCTTGCGAACGAATGATAGGAATAGATGCCTACAGAAATAAAAGACGATGTTAATGCACATAGTTAAAACAAGAAAAACGGTATTAATTTGTTTCAAATTAACAATAAAGTTGTGTCATTATTGTCAAAACTTCTATTAACAACCCACGGTACCAGAGTAACCGGTTATCTGCAAAATCACGGTTTTACAGTAGAACGTTTTGAAAGGGAAAACTTGATATTTCTAGATGTAACAGACCGAATCAACTTAAATTTAGCAATGAGGCTATATAAAAAGCTAATAATCTTAAGAGTATAATATACAAAGTTATTTGTAAAACTTTTAAGTTTTTGTATTCTTTTAAAAATAAAAACATACTATGTAGTGCAGCTCTACACAAAGTGTTGGTGTTCAAATTTCCGAGCCGTCAAGCCAAAATTCAGATTTACAAGATCGTCATAAGTGCCCATTCTTACGTACGGTTGTGATGCTTGGACACTCATTCTTAAAGAAGAGAACAAACTCCTGGTGGCTGAGAGGAAAATATTAGGGCCAGTCCAAAGAGAGAATGGTAGCTGGAGAGTCCGTTCTAACGCCGAAATAGAAGAGCTCGTGGTCCAGCCAAACATCATCGGCGAAACCAAAGCGGACAGAGTTCGCTGGCTCGGCCGTTTAGATAGGATGGGAGAGGATTGGAACCTGAAGAGAGCCTATCTGGGTTGGTCGCCCACAGTAAGTGACAGAGGTCTGTGACAACCCTGTACACTGGCTGATCTGGGGCAGAACCTGAAATTATAAGATTCCTGTGCGCGCACAGGTTATAGTGCCCTTCTCGTATACCCTAAGGGTCGATAGGGAGGGTCACTACAATCAAAACTAATGCAGAAAGATATGAATTGCGCGAACTACAAGTCATCAATTGACGAGAGATAGCGCAGGACCGAAGAAAATGGCACCATCTCGTTTCGGAGATTGTGACACATTTCGGGTCGCTGAGCCAGTGGAGTAATAAGTATCTAAATAAATAAAAAATAAAAAATAAAAAGACATTTATTTCTCCACAAAACATGAGAAACGCAATACTAAAAACGAATAAGAAAACAATTGAGTGATGTGGACAAAAAGGTTGAAGACTCAGCATTGTTGATTGTTAGTCTTCACATATAGCTAGCTGTACGCTTGCTGCACCAAGCTTAATATACGGAGTGTACACCAAGTAATAACCTACTAACTAACTGTAAGTACAGTAATACAGTTCTGTATTTTATTCTTTCAAGTTTTTATTTTCAAAACACTCTACTGCCAGAGAACAAAAAAGTAACGACAATGGACAGTGTCCGCCCTTCCCTAGCTTTAGATACCGGACCACACCCCGCACATTGACGGTCACATTGACTGAACGGCAAGAAGTCTGTTGGTGAGCCGTTTTCGCGCAAAGGTGACTTTGATATTTGAATAGAGTTTTCATTTATTCAATACGAAATTTGTACCTTAATATACAAACATCATTGTTACGAATCTTGAATATTATTTTAGTTAGTGAATTAATGAAAAATTTAATATTATTATATAGTATTGCTGACACTGGATTTTTTTCACTATAACTCTCTAAAACTAATGCCAATCGAGAGATCCTATTGTCCCAATTAAATATTGTCATATGACATTTTCGTGAAAAAATCGAATGTCACTGTGTCGCAAAGTTAAGATAAATATAGTGTACCTGCCTGTCCCCAATAACGTCAATTTTTAATGTACCCAAGTGATTTGCCGAACCCCGAACAGGTCCGGACCTAAAAAATATTGTCGTACGGTAGTCTCCATTTTTTGTCTATGTTCCTCTAAGTTTAGGTAAAAAAACTCTATCTATTCCGATTGTTGCTGATTACCCACTAAGGCAAGCGTGTTCTGCACTGCAAACTGAATCATTAAATACCATTTTACTGACGGTTTTGCAGTGTCTGTGCAAAATTTGCCTGGATGAGTACTACCGCCATTGTGAGACGACACCTGTGTTCCAAATTAAAGGCCGGGGAGAGCCAGCGTAATCACAACACGATTAAGCTCATATATTCTACAGCCGGCAACGCATTTGGAATACTAAAAGGACAGGCGCTATGTCTGGAAGTAACGGTTACCATGTTTCATTAGGTGGAACATCTGATTTGCGGAATTACATATATTTGCCAAGTTTTATTAAAATCGATTAGCGGAAAGTTCGTGATATCCACCGGATCACCCCATAATCTAGCATCCTTAGGGCGCGTTCCTATTATATCGTAACATTTTAATTATCGTTGGACGACTATTGCTTCACGGGGAACGTTAAGTTGGAAGATATGTCCGCACATTGTCGCAGGACACTGCGACTGGCATTTCCGGTACTAGCCCGGAGAGCTAGTAGAGGATAAGCTAGATATCTTTCGATCCCTCCAGCAGCTTATGTTATTGGGAACTAGAGAGACGTCGTTTTTCGGCGTCGGGAAGTGAGCGTGTCTTACCGCTCCGCCACCAATGAGGAGATTTGGTAGTGGACTCAGAGTCGACGGCTTAGCGGTGGCAACCGCTAGTTGTGCAATGCGCAAGGGGAAGTGAGCATGCCTATAGCTCCGGTACCTATCTGGAAAATAGGGAGGGTACTGTACGTGCACCCGGGGCGGCTCACCCGAAGCACTAGCCTCTCGAAGAACCGAAAGAAATCTAGTGACAGAGGTCTGTGACAGCCCTATACACTGGCTGATTTGGGGTCAGAACCTGAACTTGTAAGGTTTCTGTGCGCGCACAGGTCATAGTGCCCTTCTCGTATGCACTAAGGGTAGGTAGGGAGGGTCACTATAATCAAAACTAACGTAGAAAGATATGGAGCTTGTCTGTCGTGACTGAAATAGGGTGAGTACTGCACGTGTACCCGGGGCGGCTCACCCCAGGCACTAGCCTCTCGAGAACTGGGTGAAGTGACAGAGGTCTGTGACAACTCTGTATACTGGCAGATCTGGGGTCAGAACCTGAACTTATAAGGTTCCTGTGTGCGCACAGGTTATATATATCCTAAGGGTCAGTAAGTCAGTCAGTCAGCGTTCGTCCCGCGCGCAGCTAGCGCATCTTAACGGCAGTCTAGACGAGGGCCTGTGACGAACCGCATAGGAATTTAGGAACTGGAGAGACGCCATTCATTCGGCGTTGAGAAGTGAGCGTGCTTTACAGCTCCGCAATTAATGAGGAGATTTGATAGTCAACTTAGAGTCGACTGCTTAGTGGTGGCAACCGTTAGTTGCGCAGAGCACGACGGGAAGTGAGGACTAGCCTTACAGAGAACCGGATGAAGTCCGTGCAAACGGGTTGATCTAGGGTTAAGACCTGAATTAGATGCTCCCCGTGCGGATTTGCTCCCACAGGTCATTGTGCCCCTCCAACACAACCAAGAGGTTGGTAGGGAGGGGCTCTATAAACAAAACTTATGTAGAAAGATTTGGGACTGTGTCGTGGACGTTTTTCTATCGTTAAACGACTGTCGTGTCTAGCTACTCATACTGGATCGTGACGACAATTTGTCGGTTCACGGCAGCCGCCTGGTCGTTTGCACGACAGGATCGTGTGATGCACAGCCGCCGTCGAGTACGTAAGCTCTATTTAGTGATGGGAAACCCTTCGACACGGCAAAGCGATTGATTGAATTGATGACGCAGACGCAACACGTATTTAGAGTAATGATTTTTCAAGTATTTGTTGATTATAATAAACCGTGAAATATTAATACAGAAAAATAATACCAGAATAAGATTATTCAGTCCTTTATTAATGAGTGTTGTGAAAAAAAGTTGTTCCGGAAAACTAAAAAAAACAACAACGATAAACTTTATAGAATATTTTTATAATATTTTCTAAAGTATTAAGATTAAAGAATATTAATTATCATTCCTTTGTTTCCTAAATCGATCAGAATCGAGAACTGTGTAATGTCAAGTGAACGTCACTAGTCGTAAAATTTTACGAAAAATATGACGAAACGGCCATACCACGAAACTGAATGCGTTATACGAAAGTATCGCTCGTTCGATATTAATGGCCTACTGAAGAAGGAACACAAGTGGACCGTATCAAGTTAAATCCGCAATGTATTACGAATCAAGCGGCATCGTTTGCATATTTATTTTCTCGAAATTAATTCAAAATGAAAAGAATAGATTTTAAAATAAATTATGCGTATTCTGATTACAAAATTACATAACTTTGTAAGGATACGGCTCTGCTTATTAATCTTCTCACAGCTGTGGCGTTTTTGCAGTTTCTAATGGCACAATTAGGCATTTTTCGCGTTTTCTACTGATGTTTAACTACGATAACGGCCGGGCGTGTTTTGAAGCGTACCTTTTTTTAAGCGTACCTTGAAGAGGGCGAGCGGAAGGCTCATAACCCCTAAAATAAACTTAAAACTAAGTAGCGGGCCTAAGGGCGCCCAAGTGGGCACAGACTTCAGCTCAGGGCGCTACTGAAGATTTCCTCCAAAAGGGCGTGCTATAGGAGAGAATCTACCAGTGTAGGTGCTGAAATGAGGGGCTCTACGACCTCACCGGCGAGGACGCTTGGTGCGTGTGGAGATGGACTGATTTGCGATCTGGTCAGCCTTCAAAGTAGCGAGATGACGACCCCATCACTCTCGCCACTTTGAAGGTTCGTTGAGGGAAATCCTCCTTCCTTGGCCGACTTGTCCTACGTACGCGGTGGAGGTGTTCACTGAGATGATCGTAATTGGATGCAGCCACCACGAGGGGGTTGGGATGGTGAGGAGCAGAGTCAAGTATTTCCTAAAGCGTAGCAGCGCCATCTAAGTGTTTATAGCTTACATTGGGCACGCGAAGCAGGTACACTTGCGGCATCTATTTAGATTATATGTCTGTGGTACCGCGTCTTCAAGTGCGGTTATTCCATAAAAAGGGTTTTCAGCGCGTGCAAAATTGAACACAAAATGCACGCAGATATAACAGAAATCACCATGTCTTCTCGTTTTGCCTTTTACTGTGTACTGGATTATAAATTCCACCTTATCTGCATGCATTTTATGTTCAATTTTCCGCTCGCTCAAACACGTATTAGGGTTACCCTCTTCCAGTCTCTACGCATAAAGATATAAATATAATAAATAGGTCGTCGTGGGGTAAAAGTATATGTCTAGTCCGTCTAAACAAGAAACTGTAGCGCAAATGTTTTGTAATTTGAATATAATAGATAGTTTTAGTAGTAGTAGAGCTTGTGAAAGTTGTCGTACAGGGAAGTACTGCCATCTATTACTGCCGCCAAACAGTAATATGAGCAGTACTTCGTTCCTATTTTGAAGGGGTGCTGCGGAAATTGGCACATGGGATTTGTCTTCTACAAGTCTTTGCGATTTCACTAGAACTCTAAGCGTCGTATTCTAGAACTCTACTCAATGCTCAAGTCAGGATTTGAGCAGACTTGAGCATGATTTCAAGCACTGGAAATACGACCCTAATGGCAAGGACTTGAGTATGATTTCTAGTGCTTTAAATCATACTCATGTCATGACTTGAGCAATGAGTAGAGCTCTGGAATACGACCCTGAGACTGGTTACACACGGCAACTTCAAGCAGCGATACAAATGCGATACAGTAGCTTTTTTTATAACATCAAGTGACGGGAGGAACAAGTGCGTCTTATGGTAAGCTGTCCATAACAATTAAAGTGCCACTGACAGCATTAAATTGCAAAGATCTGACTACCACTCCGCCCCTCACACTGAGACATGAGTTCACAAGTCTTAAGTAATGCTGACATTACTGCTTGGCAGCAGAAATAGGTAAGGTGGCAGTACTACCCTTGATGAACTCTTTCACAAGAAGCTCTTGTGCTACTAAATCTAATCGCGAATCCTTTACACACACGTGCGACTTTGAGCAGCAATGCAATCGCGCGACTGCATCGATGCAATCGCCACGGATTTGTATATTAAACTGGAAAGCGCTCTAAGTTAATAAAACGAACAGAGTGAGAGGCTTCAAAGTAGTAATGCAATGCAGTAGTAACTGCCTCCGTGGCCGAACGGTTACCATACCGGACTGCTACGCAGAGGTCCCAGGTTCGATTCCCGGGCCGGGAGAAATATTTGTATGGCCTACAATTGTTTCTCTCGTGAGTTTGGGTGTAATTTGTGGTTGTCTAAGTGTGTGTCCATGGCACCCGCGACACAGGGTTTCCCTAGTGCGGGGCTATGTTGAGTGTGTGCGTTATTTATTTAAAAAAAAATGCGTCTCTTTCTAATAAAGTGTTCATGATTCAGCCAGCCATATTGTTTTTAACTTTTTAATTTTTACAGAAAATGTGGCCGCTTGAGGATAACCAAAACTACTAATATTATTTCATAATACAAATTAGTACACTTATTTGATATGCTACTTCATAATAGAAGGTTTCATTGTTGATATATTTTTTTTGTATTATTACCTTTAAGATGATTTTATTTAGCGTTGGCAACTTGTTAGACAAGGACGGACCGCTACTTAGAGCTATCTCACGTGTCTCGGTTTATTACTTTTACTTAAAATAAACCTTAACATAACCCAATAACGTGTAAATTTGTAATATTGGTATATCGAAGTGCGCGATCCAGTTTACGAAATATATAAATCCATGGTTATCGCCTGTAAATGGCAAGTGTCGCGATGCAATCGCGCGTTTCTAGAACGTTTGCAAAGCTTGTAATAATAATTACCTGCATAATTCATCTGGTGCTTTCACCTCTAGGAATGTATTTATAAACCACTGGAAGCCATCGAAGTCGATATCCTGAAACAATGGAGAATTTGTGTTTAGTCAATCTTCATTCGACATCATGTAAGACGGTTTTTGTCTCTAAGTTATAAATATAATTTTGTAATTGGTTGTAGCATTAAAACATGAAAAAACTTTATTTTTTTGCAACTTTGCTTATGTGACGAGGACAATAGAAAGTTTAAATTTGGACGCCATGAAGTAAACGTACAAATTTTCGGGGTTCTCTTTATTTAAAGACAAAAAGCAAATAATAATTATAAATAAAATAAAATCTCTTTTTATTGACTTCAAAATAAACAAAACAAAATTATGAAAACCTTAAAATGCTGATCAGGTAATTTTGAAGATATAGTCGTTATAATACCGACACAAAAAACGAAGTACACAAAAGATACTAAATCAATATTTTTGGAATTGGAAAATATCATTAATTATAGTTTAGGGTATAATTTGCATTCTTGATATTCCACGTGGAAACCGTATGATTTTGACTCCAATTATAATTACACTTTTGATTATACAACATATGCGGGCGCGAGGCGCGTACCAATACTAAAAAACGATTACAATGCTAAATATGTTCCTACAATATTCCTCCCCAACAACATTTTTGAAAACAAAACTTTTAAATTACAAAACAGAAACAATTTACATTAACAATAAACTGTATTTGACTGCATATGATAATGATGAAGTGCTGTATTTCATATACATTCAATTCATGTAATAATCCCTGACAAGTGTAGTAATTTATATACTTTCAAGTCATGTAATAGTTCCTATTAGTAGTTTTTCTACTTGTTTTTAGTTAATATTTAAGGTACATTTTATAATTTTAGTGTTTACCACACTAGTATGTGCCATCTCATTTTGTAAAAGCGATATCAACTGAAAAGCAGCGTTACAGCAGGTGAGCTGTAACATATGCTGAGTAGACTCCGTTTCAGCTTATCTTGTTTTGCTTGAATTCTATTAAGCTGAACAAACATTTCTTTCATTACAAATGTATGTAAGGCAAATACCGGTAACAATGCATGTTCCTAGATCCTCAAATTACATTTTATTTACAAAGTACAAACTTAAGACGGTAACATGATTCATTGGTTCGTAAGTTATACTTCAATATGCAATCGTGCAAGGTAAATTCTGAGAACCGTATCTGCGAACCCATGATTTCGCCCTACAAGTTACAAGCGTATAACAAAAAAAACAGGAAGATATTGTAGGGCGTAAAAGATATATATGAAAATAAACTACATTCACGCATGGGTCATGAGAACGCTTTGCTCGACACAATATTTGCCTCTAGCAGATAACAATGTAACCATGCAATGAGAGCATTTACAGCCTTTCGTGCGTCACTATCAAATCACATAATCTTGTGGCATCATCACTTTGTTTACGATACATAACAGCGGTAAAGATGGTTGTGATATAGTACGTTCAGGGATATTATTCTCTCAGAGAAAAGTTTAAAGAGACTTGTGGCATCACAGTACATTTACTCAAATATTTTGTATGCGCGTGGTACCACGGTACCACGATTTCGTTTAACTGAGGTAAACGATTGTTTTATGGGGAACTGTATACTTTTATTCCAATAAAATTCCGGAGCATATATTAAGATAATCATTTCCTAAGTTTAAAACTTACATTAAAAGTATTTTAATTGAAAAGTCATATTACGAAATTACGACGACGTCGCTCAGTGGGTAGGCCCCCCACCAGTTGGACCGACGATCTGGTGGAGGTCGCGGGAAGCCGATGGATGCGGGCAGCGCAGGACCGATCGTCGTGGAGATCGTTGGGGGAGGCCTATGCCCAGCAGTGGGCGTCGTATGGCTGAATGATGATTACGAAATTTAAGAGTATGTGTTAGATAAAGAAGTATGCAAAGACTACATGAGTCTAGATTCCACACAATTATGATTAAAAGTGTATTCCATAGCATTTTACTTTATTTGAAAAGAGGAATCCCTAGAGTTTTTTGTTCAGGGAAATCAGCGTAATGAACGAGCAGTAGCTTAAAAAAAATGACGTTTTCAAGCATTGACTTACAAATAAATGGACGACGGGTCTAATACAAAAACCACGAAAAAAATGTCCCAAGTTTATTTAAACGTAGTGACATGTAAAGGAATATGAAAAAGCTAAAACGTTGAATTTAAATTGTAATATCATCGCAGTACTGTCTAATTTTGCTTGCTTCGCTGTCAGTCGAACAAACGAAGACTAAAGCGTGAATGACGCTCTGTATACGATTTTAACGCCCTATAAGTTCGGACACTTTTCAGCGCGGACCCGACGTCCATATAATTGTAAGTCAATGTTTTCAAGTGTAAAAATTTTACCTATAGAATAAATGCAACTGTTTTGGTGGTTCGGTGTTAATGAATGGTTTTAATTAATAGAGTGATAGATTGGTTTAGAATTAGGGTGCGCACAATATGATATATATATGGATAGGTAAATACATACAGAAAAGCGTAGTCAAATGTACAATGATGTTTAAATAGACATTGTTTATTAAATTTAACAGAATGGAATTATTTATTAAATTATTCAGATTACTAAGTTTGCGAAACAAGCGCCATTACAAAATGTGTTTGCAAAGATCGGGGGCAGGCTGAAAACAAGTGCTGAGTGACTTCTGCCACTCAGTAAATGCTGAGACTGTCCCCCACGCGCAAATCAGTAATTTTAATCAGTAATCTTACAATATAAGTAATCTTTTACGTTTAGTTTTGTTATATAATTGATGTGTGTGGAAATAAATGGTTTAAATGGTTAAAATAATATGAAAAGGGACTTCAAAAATTTGTAGAAATGCATCCATTAGCCAAGTTATATTAAAGTCGGTTAACGGAAAGTGGGTGTAATCCTATAAACCGGATTCATCTCCTAATTCGCCAACCTTAGAGGTGGAATATTTTCTTCCAATTTAAATGGGACGACGACAGAGGTAATTACCCTTTCCAAAACAAGAATCATCTAAATTATCAGACACACGTCCGGTAATCACTCGGTTTTAGGGTCAACTGAAAATCAGCGTCACAGCCTTTTCCCGGCGGTGACATTAGCTGAGTGGATCCTTTTACATACGCCACAGTCGCGCACATGACATCTACTTAGTACAACAATAGTGTTGACTAGCTTTGTTGTCATTTCATTACCTATTACTAAGATGTAATTTTTAATTCATTTTATTTATTAAATTTTTATTGAATTGATATTCAATTATTTTTAGTGAAATTACTCCACTAGTTTGCTATAATTATTAATACAAAGATCGAACACTCAGAAAAAATTCCTTCGATCCGGTCGGATTTGAACCGACATCTTCTTGCATACCGTGCCAGACGCTATACCAACTAAGCCACGGAACGAACCAACGGACCTCACGAATTCCTCTATGTGCTTGCGTCGTGTCTTTGTATTGGTTTTTTCCAACGACTTTTTAGTCGTAGCGCCATCTATGAGAAATGTTTGACAGATTTATCACCCAGTTAGTACCTTTACAGCTACCAGTCCTGGCGAGAGATGTCGCTATTCACTGTATTAATTAAAGTTTCATTTTATTATCATAAATCATTTTATTTACTTTTTTTTTGGTAATCTATTTTATTTTTGTTTTAATTTAGCTTTATCTTTTTTTAATTTCTTACTGCGTATTATTGTGTTGTGGTGTTACGTAATAAATGGTTTCTATTTTTTTCTATTCTATTCTATTCAATTCTAAATAGGTTAACAAAATTTGTCGGAATTATCACGTAACATTCACACACACAGCGGTAGTTTAGTAGCAGTAGACCTCTATGTGAAAGAGTTCATCCAGGAAAATACCACCTTACCTATTTCTGAAATAGGATAATAATGAATTTGATAGATGGCATTAGTAGTATCCTGCCTCGAGCAATCAAAGTGTTGCATCCGATTCGTGTTTGTTCCAAATCCGAGACTGTGCAAATCTAGGAAACTCGGACCCATTTCGGATGTCGCTTGTGCACCAGGTCCGATTCAAATCCGAGAAAAAACTAATATCGCTTGTACACCTAGAGATAAAATGACACTTCGGACACCTGTGACATTTCGGACCGTCACTTCCCGGACTGGGAACTCGCTTAAGCGTGTTAATAATAATATAATAATAATATAATTATTTATTCAGACAACAACATAATATGGTCCATTAGTGTTAGTATCTTACCAAAATTAACTTAAAAACTATGTTAGTGACAAAGAAAAAATAATAAAATAAAATAAAAATACATGTCAATTCTTTCACTCGCATCCCAACCAAATATACTAACATGAGACTACTTGATCAGGACCCGAATGAAAGACTTCATTACAGGCAAGTCATATCGGTCAGGTATGACCTTTAGAATGCTGTTGGCGCTGCCCCGTAGTCTGCTGAGCAGTGAGGCTGTTCTTTTACGGATGATGGCGTAGAAATCATCCACCCGCGCCTCTGCAAACATGGTAGATGCACTGCAGAAACTGTTAAGCAATTGGTTTTTTTTATGACAATGTACTCTTATGGCATACAAAACCCACCCTTTTTTAACTATTCCAGTATTGTACCATCCCGTTCCAACGTTTGGCATCACAAAAAAAGATAAATGTACGCGGTTTTGGAAGCGAAAAAATAGATTCATTAACAATACATTCTAATACACTTACTCCATTTTCAGTCACGCCGTTGGCGACAAAACTAACTTGGGCACTTTTGTATTTATCACGCTTTTCTTCTAACCATTCATTAAACTCCCCTAACATTCTTTCATTCTGTTTTACCCCCCGTAAAACCTCATTCACACTGTGCCGAAACTCGTCTTTTTCACTTTAGATAGAACTTAACAACTTTTACGTCACGACTTTATGGGGGACCTTCAACTGTTATACGACAAAATGGTCACACTCATTATCATTTACTAGAAAAAAAAAAGTATTTTATGCAGTGCAATCATTGACTTACAAATAAATGGACGACGGGTCTAATACAAAAACCA